TAGAACAAATTAATTACAAAGCCATCAGACACACAATATGACCAATCAATGATAAACCTACATAACAGTGGATGAACCCCACAACTGAAATTCAACTACATTAATTAAGAACAATGTTCATATAGAAAGTGCAAAATAACTACAAATCCTAGTCTACATCAAGATCCATATCGTAATCCACATCAGGTTCGTCACACTCTTCATTTTGTTTGTCAGCTCTATTCTCCATCATTGTTTCATCAGATGACCTAACCCTTGTAACAACTTCTGCCTCAACACCATCTCTATAACATTGAACATTAGGGCCGATGTCAATTGGAACAATATCGGTAATATTTTCTTGTTGGAACACATTGTTTTCTTCTGGTTCATCTAATGATTCTCCATCACCTACCTCTAGTACATCAAAGACACCCCTATGTTGCACTCGTTGAACAACTTGCCAAGGTTGTCCCCATTTAGTATCATTTAGGTAAAAGACTTGCTTAGCCTGGCTAGGCAAGATGAAAGGATCGTGTTGATACCACCGACTTGTGACATCAATACTTATGCAATAATCATCGGTTCACAATGTTCTACTTCGACCTGTGTTTGCCACAAAATGTAGCCCACGGCCACTGAGAGATGGTCTACGGGACCTCTCCCTCCCCTCAGGAAAAGAAACAGAGAAAACCGAGTCTGGTTCGCAAACCGAGGCAAGGCACAGAAGAGGGTTCGGAAATCCGAAGGCAGGGCTCACGGCCGCGACTCTGGGACTTCTGAACGAGCACGATATGCAATATCACCAAGCGCTCAATCAGTGACGTCTGAGTCTTAAGGTCGGTCAAAAATGGGGTGTCTATAGTGCCTAACACAGAAAAGGTGCCGACACCCTTAGACTACAATTCTCTTAGTGGAATAGACGTGTACACATTATCACAGAACCATGTTTTAACGAAAAAAGTATGGGCACATGACAGACTAAGCTTAACATGGAAATGATGCAGGTGATAAAATCAGATAATGCAGTAAATGCATGCGATAGATGCTATGTACAATGCGATGTAATAGCTAAAATGCAATGTAGCTGGGAAGTGAAAGTATCTTGCAGGGGCAATTGGTGATGACTCATCTCATGCTGCTGGGGATCTTCCTCTTCTACATCTTGCGTTTCTGAACCACAGGTACTACTTTTCTCCCTGGCTATGGTCGCAGCTTTCCCTATTCTACAACAGGGTGACAGACTAGGTTGGTTCAGTATCCAGAATTGAGGCGCATACTCGCTACCTTAACCTATTGGGCTTCCATACAGATTTCAAGTCGGGGATACACCCCTAGGTATTTAAACCAGACTTTAGTCTCGGAGATTCCAAACCTTTGCGTTCTAGGTATCAGCCATTCGAACTCTAGTTTCCACCGTCTCAGTTGATCTCCTAGGAACTCACTGTAAACACAGACAGGTGGTTATACTAGACCACTGGAAGTCGTTCGGGCACGACAAACACCAGAGGGACCAAAAGGTGCACATGACAGTGCGATGCAGGGTGAATGCACAAAACAGTGCTAGGAAGATGCACAAAATAGTGCAATGCAGGTTGAAATGCACAAGATAGTGCTAACAAGATGCACAAAACAGTGCGATGCAAGAGTGAATGCACAAAACAGTGCTATGTAGGGTGAATGCACAAAACAGTGTGATGCAAGTGTGTGCACAAGATAGTCCTAAGACAAAGGGTGCGCAAGACGGCATGAGTAATGCGATGCACTAACAAGTGCAGGTAAGATGCGCACGAAAGTGTGAACAATGCAATGCACTAACAAGTGCAAGTAAGGTGCACAAGAAAGTGCAAATAATGCAATGCACTAACAAGTGCAGGTAAGTTGCGTAGGAAAGCGTGAACAATGCAATGCATTAACAAGTGTAGGTAAGGTGCACACGAAAGTGTGAACAAGTTCAATGCAAAAGATACAAGCATTTTCTATGCAAGATGAGAGCATGTAATGAAATGCACTGGATAGTGCGATGCGCAAGAAAGCGCGAGTGTAAACTGCACAAAACAGTGCGATGCGCAAGAGAGCGTTAGTATAAACAGCACAAAACAGTGCGATGCGCAAGAAAGCGCGAGTGTAAAACAATGCACTAACAAGTGCAAGTAAGGTGCGCAAGATAGCGAGAACAATGCACTAACAAGTGCAAGTAAGGGGCGCAAGAAAGCACGAACAATGCACTAACAAGTGCAAGTAAGGGGCGCAAGAAAGCACGAACAATGCACTAACAAGTGCAAGTAAGGGGCGCAAGAAAGCACGAACAATGCACTAACAAGTGCAAGTAAGGGGCGCAAGAAAGCACGAACAATGCACTAACAAGTGCAAGTAAGGGGCGCAAGAAAGCACGAACAATGCACTAACAAGTGCAAGTAAGGGGCGCAAGAAAGCACATCCCAAGTTTGAAAATATTAGTTTATTATTTTATTTTTTATTGTCCCAAAATATTAGTCTATTTTTTAAAAATTAAGGACTAAAATAATATAAAATTTTTATCGTGCCTTTCTTTTAAATTTATTAACAACACAAAAAGTATAATTATGATAATTGATATTTCTAAAAATATACTATCAAAAATAATTTTAGAAAAGTAATATTTTGGAAAGTACAATAATTATATTATATATAAAAAAAAAAGTTAGATTCCCAAAAAATTATTTTGACCAAGAAGGGACAGAAAGAAAGAAATGAAACTGGAAGAAGAAGAAGAAGAAGAAGAAGAGGAGGAAGGGGAAGAGGAGGCGGTGGTGGAGGAGACGAAGAACTGCCACCGCCGCCTCCCAAACGGCAGAGGAATGAGAGTGTAGACCATATCAGCACATGGTGCGACAGACTTCTCCTTCACATTCTCTCTTTCTTGCCCATGAAACAAGTTCTAAGAACTGGATCATTATCCAAAAGATTTCAATTTCTCTGGACTTCCCTATCAACCCTAGTTGTCAAGAATGAGTTGGACTTCTCTCAAGCGCTATCTCTCGAGTATGTGAAATTGTGCGATGAATTGATTGCAAAAGTATTGTCAGGTTGTCCGGTTTTGGAATTTTTGGAATTGAATTCATTTACCGGTATCAATCACTTGAATATTGATTCAGTGAGCGTGAAGAAGGTTGTCATACAACACTCTGTGGTTGTAAGAAATGATGAGTCTGTCCTGGAAATTTCAGCTCCTAATCTTCAGTCATTGGAGCTTTTGGGAACCTTTCACCGAAGAAAGTGTCGACTAGTGAATGTTTCATCTCTTGTTGAAGCCAATCTGAGTTTGACATTTGATGAAACTTGTGGTAGAGACAGTGAAGATGATAATTTAAAGCAGTGGAACCAATTGAAAGAACTTCTTGAGGGAGTTCAACATGTAAAGGAGCTTCAATTAGGGACTTGGTGTATTCAGGTTTGCCCTTTTTTCCAATTAAGTTGTTTAATGAATGCACAAAATATTATGTACCTATTTCTTTGACAAGTTATTGACACATCTCAGTGGTTGATTGGTGTGGCTTTCAACTGGTATTCATATAAATCAACAGTTGAGATGTCTCGCACACTATAATGAATATAGGTTTCGGGCCGCCCACGGGCCAATTTTACATTCCTACAATGTGAATTTTAAAATATGAATGTTCACATCATAAAATTGCTAACCGTTCAAAAAATATTTATAAGGGTATCAAAATTAAATATAAGGGCATAAGTGTCCAAGAAAATAGTGTAAATCAAGAAAAGTGACTTTATGGAATAAAACTATACATACATGGGACTAAATGGGTTAAAAAATTCCTTCATAGATTTCTTGGGTTAAAACACTTCTAAATGAGATTTATCAATAAAAATCCCTTTTTGATTTGATATATACGAGTAGAACTCTAATTCAAAATTTATATCTATTTTTTCAAGCTCAATAATATAACAACCTATTAGAATATCTAAAGTAACTTTATTTTTCATATTTTACCTAATCATTAATCAATTATTTCACTTACACATTATTGAGTCTAGAAAATAAATTTATATATTATTTTTCAATATATTTGTTTTAATTTAAAAATGAGTCTTGTTAATGTGTGTTTTTACACTATGTTTGGATAGATGATTTAGTGAAAAATGATATAAAAAATGATGCGAAAGATGACTTTTTTCTATTTTTGATTTATAAGTTAAGTGAGAAATAGTATCAAAGAGAACCAACCTTATTTCATTCCTCAATGTGGCTTTGTTTGGGGGTATGGATTAGGCTAATGTAGCCCATAAAAAGATAAAATAGACTACAAAGTCAAAATAAGATAAAATATTATATTCAAATCATAATCATTTTATTTTTTTCCTCACAATCATAGCATCCAAACCAAAAAAAAAAAATCTAAAAGTTTATCTCAAACAAAGCCTTTTTTAGTCATGTTAAAATAGCCGAAAAGTCAGGCTAAAAAAATATATCCCAAACGAAGCCTAAGTGGTGAGATCTTATGAGAAAAATTGATTAGTTGTAAAAAAATTATAATACTAAGATTGTCTCTTAAAATATAAAAATGAAATAAAATAAAATTTGAATTATATCCTATCTGATATAGTTTGTTTTATCACTCATCCAAACATGACTGTGAAAAAACATGATTTTTTTTTGAGAAATTTAGCTATAAACCTCCTTTACCTTTCTTTCATTGTTAAAAGGGACTAAGAAAAAAATTATACTTTCTAAATCCCCTCATAATTATCAAGTCTTGCATAAAGGACAAAATTTATTATTTAAATATTTTATCAGACTATTATACTCCTCATCTAGATCTTCCCACCTTCTCCGTCTCTCTCCTCATCCGCTCTACCAAGATCAGTGACGGACATCACAGATTTCACGCCCGGTAGTGGTGGTGGATCTAGATCTGGAACCAACAGATTTAGATCTCACAGTTGAGCAGAAGCAACGACAAATCTGCATTTTCGATTCAGCAACAAAGGCAACGTTGAAAACGACGACCTCGTTGACAGCAGCTTCAATTGCCGTCGGCTTCTCAAGGTTATGCTGTTGCGTACGGCAGTGTCGACGTGAAGAATGCTTCTGTGGAGGTGAAGCTGGAGTTTGAATACGGTTACGATGCTAATGTGGTGAAAGGTTCGGAGTTTGATGTGGTGAAACAGTAAAGAAAACGACAACTGAACTTGTGACGAAAGTTCTATCCCAATCCGTAACACAGAGTTCGTGTAGTCTCTGGATCTCTCTACGGCTGTAAGAAGAACAAGAAAATATATGTATATATATATATATATATATATTTGTGTGTATGAGTGTTGTTGAACACATGTATTCTTTTCATTGAGATTTGTAATTGTTGATCGAGTTTTAGAAGTTTTTCTTCTTAATTAGATATATTGATTTGTTGATTAATTTGTTTTGTTTTTGTTTGTTTTTTTTATATATATATTTATTTTTGTTGTTTTTTATCTAATTTCATTTGATAGAACCAGAGTAAAATTTTACTCTTGTTCCATTGCTCTGTTTTTTGTTTCAGATAATGAGAGTAAAATTTTACTCTGGTTTTATTGCTCTGTTTTTTGTTTGAGAGAATTAGAGTAAAATTTTACTCTGGTATAAGAATGACAGCAAAATCAGAGTCTCATAGTTTACTCGTTTTTCAGAGTAAAATTTTACTTTTGTGTAAAGTCTAACATTTTAACAGTTTTTCAGAGTAAAATTTTACTTTTATACAGAGTAAAATTTTACTTTTAGTTTCAGAGTGTAACATTTTACTCTTATTCAGAGTAAAATTTTACTTTTAATACAAAGTAAAATTTTACTCTGAAATACACAGTGAAGATGGCTTTATAGGAGAGCTGATAGATATGAGGGTAATATAGTAAAAGAAACAAGTTTTAAAATATTAAGGGGTTTTGAAAGTACTTATATAATTCTTGTTCTTTTAAAAGACAAATTAAATAGTGAAGGGGCTATCACCAAATCTCCCCTTTTTTTTCCGTACCCTATGATCCAAACAGAGGATTAAGGCACATGTTACGCATGTTTTAAAAATATTATATTATTTATGAGTTTCATACAAAATGCACAATTCTTCTAATAAGCATACAATAATATTACAAATCTACCCTTTTCAATTTAAAATTTATTTAGGAAAAAAAATAATCACTATATTTGGTTATCATTTTTCAAAAATACTTTTCAGAAAATTCTAATTTCTTATTTTCCGTGTTTTTTTGTTTTTACTGAATTTTTTTAATATTTTGAGCAATTCTTTTAATTTTTAGACATACCTAACATAAATATACCTAAAAAGTAAAAAAAAAATTAGAAAAAACCTTTTTAAAATTCATTAAATACCAAAAATACGAAAAAAAAATACGAGAATTCAATACATTTTTTATATTTTTATATATTTATTAATTTTTAAAAATATTTTTTCACAAATTTTTTACTTTTTAGATATATCTAAGTAAGGTGCATCTAAAAAAGTAAAAAAAAAATGTTTAAAATTTTAAAAATATTCACTAAAAACAAAAAAACACGAAAATCAAAAAATTAAATTTTCAAAAAACTTAATTCAAAAAACTCAAATCAAAAGTACTGAATAGTTTAAATTCATTTTATACGTGGATCCCACACTTTATTAATCAATTCTTACCATACAAATACATTTGAGATAAATTCGGACTCATAAAGATGGATTCCTAGCATTTTTCAATAAACATAACATCCAGCATAAAAGCAAAAATTAGCAAAATCTTCATCAGGTTTAAGTAGAGCAAATCTGGTGAAAAAAAAAAAATGGAGACGAGGTAATATGTACTGTACGGGGAGGAAATAATTCTCCTCGTATAATCCTGTTGACCAAGTCCGCGCTCCTCCGTACGACGTCGCTTTGTCACCTGAAAACACAAACGTGAGCTAGCCGGCGGGTGTGTGCCGGAAACCTCTCCGATGCCTAAGTCAGAAAACTTGACAAATAGACAAAACTCAATGTAATCAGAAAGGACTTTGTCGCTTCACATTACTCCTCCAAGGTGCAGCTTGTAGGGCTTTTTATAAGTTTTCATGGATGGGCGAGCAACCTAGTAGGACTTGGTATTTCCCCATTACAAGAGTACCTTCCTACGATGTGGCATTTGCTCCGCAAGGATACATGTCTTTATCCTGTTATACAACCCTCCCCCACTGCATTCAAAACACAAGTGGCGACATCGGTCTTCTTTACGGGCCCGGCGGGAGGGCCCGCAACTTTCCTTTTTGACCGAAGCTAAACTTGGCGTATACCGAGCCACAGAAGGCCGAACTATCCTTAGCTCGGTCTTCTCCTCCAACTCTTTACTTCGGCTGCCCTGTTCAACCTTGATGTGCTTAGTTCAAACTTCCAAGTAACAAGTTCTGACCGACCTAACCATTGTAAGCCTCGACCGGACTAATTCCGACACCGGCCTTCTTAGAACATACTGCGACCGGACTAACTCTGAGACCGGCCTAACTGCGAATTGCCTCCAGACCGGAGTAATTTTACTCTTCCTCGGGCTGAAGTAACGGTCTCTTCTTGAGCCGGAGTAATTTCGTCTCCTTGGGCCGAAGTAGCTTTGTCTTCCCAAGGCCGGAGTAATTTTGCCCTTCTGGGCCGGAGTATTCTGTATGGCCTTTTTACCTAGTCCACTGCGTTTTGGGCCTCAAAACCAAACCCGAAGTTCGGCCCAATTTTCCCAAAAATTACCCTCTCAATTGCCCCTTAATTCCATCTGTGCAACATGATTGGGATTACCAGCCTTCTGGCCGAACTAGAGTTTGTCATGCTTTTTCAATCGAGCTAAAAACCCTTCAGCCTTTCCAGCCGAGCTAAGTTTACCTCGGGTATCACTACGTCCGGTCAAAACGTCTCTTCAATCATAGCGACTGTAACGCTTCCAAATCCAGTGACACGTGGCTAGCTCTGATAAGCTGTGGCCAACTGTCACGCCGTCCTTCTGAATTTTTGTACTGTTCCCGCTCCTTTTTGCCGCCTTTTTCTCTCTCCCCTTTACACAAAACAGCCCTTTCGATTCTGGAATCATTTACTCTGTTGTTTTCATCTTCTTCTCTCTCTCTGCCTCTGCTTCTTCAGCCTCTGAGCCTCCTGAATCTGTGTTCTTCGTTGGTTCCGTTGCTCCTGTCCTTTGTTTCATCTTTTCCTGGTAAGCAATCCTTTTTCCTTTCCTTCGTTTTGCTTTCATATTTCGTTTTCCATGCTCTGCTTGCTTTTGCAAAACATTTTTCTTCTATCTCTAATTTGCTTTAGTACTTTCTATGAAGAAACCAGTAGAACTTGTATGTGTATGAACTGTTATGTAGAAAAACAAGCCTCAGATCCAAAATCACATTGCGACCGAACTATGATTCTGTTTGCCCCTAATACGTAGACTTCTGTAGTCAATAACCGAACTAGAACTTAATAGGAATGACAGTAGTTTCCTCTGAACCACTCTAGCCAAGATAAGATTTACCGAACAAGCTTGCACATACCGAACTAGGTACTTCGGTCCCCAATCGAGCTAAGACCTTGGGGCCAAGCCGGCTTTCTTAGTTCTGAA